AGTGAGTGCACTTGTTCTGGAAGGGTGTTTGCTTTCCTGAAATGGTCAAGTAGATGAGTTCAACATTGTGCATCAGTGTCTGTTAATGGGTTTTGTGGTAGAGGCTTTTTGGTTAGTCAGCAATCTGTGATGCTTTTTCGGTTTTGTGACTTTCTGTATTAGACCAAATTGTGTTTTCAGGTGTCTTGGTGTATTCTCATAGGCGCTGAAGAATGTATTCATGGGAATGCGCAGTAGTTTCTCGTACTGGATCATTGCCTTCTCTTTGATGTAACCAGGAGCATTGCATCAATCGGTGCTGATTTTATCCATCCAGTAATTAGTCGTAATGCATGGTTGTGTGCCTTCTCGAGTGATTTGAGAATCACTTCAGAGGCCGTAATGAGTTTCTCCCAGCAATAGAGCATTATTGGCTGAACAAACAACCTGTAATTGTTATTTAGGGTTGTGTGTGCACAGCCCCAAACACTATCAGTAAGGAGCTTCAGTACGTTCAGTCTATTGGAGGCTCGTTCTGCTACTTTAGCAATGTGACTTTTAGATGTTAGCTTTGTGTCAAACGTAACTCCGAGATAAGTGAACTCGTTGGTTTATTCTTGAGAAGTATCCTTGTGCATTAAATGCAGACTTGTGTTGTGGTGGACCAAGGAAAATGTTTGGAATGCGATGTTAGCGGTGTTGATAACCATTCCATTGTTGTCGCACTAGATTGCTAGAAGTTTAATTGCTTAATTTATGGCACTTTCCGTCCTCTCCTGAGCGTTTTTCTTGGGCACTTTCTGTCCTCTCTTGAGCGTTTTTCTTAGGGGCGGCAGAACAAGATCATTTTTTCTTAGGGGCGGAATACCATAGAACAAGATCATCTGCGTCAAAGTAGGCACTCGATGCCCGTGACTGTCTGTACCAATTCGGCTATGCCTGAACGCCCGTGACTGTCTGTACCAATTCGGCTATGTCAATTGATGCCTGTGACTGTCTGTACCAATTCCATGTGGTAGAGATGCTTGTGACTGTCTGTACGAATTCGGCTATGTCATTGATGAAGACGGTGAAAAGAGAGCAGCTCGTAACAGCTCCCTGTGGTGGGTCTGTTTGTAAAAGATTAGATTTGGACAGATCGTGTCCATATCTGACTTTACATGACCTTTGTCCAATGACAACTTTTATCCAGTTTAGCATGTTATGTTATGTTCCAACAATCGCCAATTTTAGAATTACGTTCACTTTCCATAATAAGTCATATGCTGATTTGAAATCGACGAATACAGCCGTAAGAGTATTTCTTGCATCAAGGGCATCTTTGACATGTTGGGAGAGAGTGACTATTCTTTGGTTTATTGATCTTTTTGGCCTAATACCTGCTTGTTCATTGCTAAAAATATTGTTGGTCTCAAGGAACCAGGTCAGCCTCCTGTTAACCATTCTTTCCATAAGTTTAGCGAGCACACTTGTGAGAGAGATGGGCCTATAGTTGTTAAAGTGAGCACACTTGTGAGAGAGATGGGCCTATAGTTGTTAAAGTTGCTTGGGGCCTTTGACCTTTTTAAGTTTTGGTATTACTATGGCAATTCTCCATTGGGTTGGTACGAGACTAGTCTCTCAGCTTTTGTCGAAAAGTGTCAGTACGGTTTCCTTGGCTTTTGGCCCCAGTCTAATTAGAAATCCCGTATGGATACCATATTCGCCAAGAGACTTTTTTGCACTGTAGTTGTTTTATCGAAGAATTAAGTTTGTGGTTCAGTAAATCCATTATTCGGTATTGTTGTGTCTTGTATCTTTATATCTCTTGAAGATTTTTTGAAAAAGGGTTTTCTTTTGCTTGTGGGAATAGAACCACGAAAAGTAGTTATCTATTTCGGAGTCGGTGGTAAGCAGTTTGTTGTTTGAGCATATTGGTTCTTCTTGGGTCTTTCCTTGTTGGCTTTGGATGTTACCCATGAATTTGAATGTGCGTTGGCTATCATTTTGAGATGAAGTTGTCATGGGTAGTCCGTTTAGCTTGTAAGATGGATTGCCTTAGGACAGCCGATTGTCGCCTCCAGGCTTTTACGTCTTCCGTTCTTCCAGTCTGATCAGCAGTGTTGCGAAGGGCGTCCCTCTTTCTTTTCAGTTCCTCAAGGTGTTCAGGCCAGAACACTCGATAGTGTTTACTCTTGCCTCGGGGAATAGTTTTCTTTGCACATCTGATCATAATATTTGTGATATCGTTGCAAAGTTTATCAGGATATTGGTTGAAGTTTAGGGGACTTGTGTGAAGTTCATTCTCTAAAAGGCTTGTGAATCTAGGCCAGTCAGCCTTCTTGCAGTTCCATGATAGCTTAGTTGGCATTTTCCTTGTCATGCTTTTGCTGCCGATGGCAATACTGGCAATGACTGGTTTGTGACCAGAACCAGGATCGTCAATTATTTTGCGGTGTGTAAGCTAGATGATGTCGCTTGAAGCCAGGAGCAAGTCAGGAGTTGTCCTGGCTCCATTGTAGTGCAAATATGTAGCAGGATCCTCATTGCTATAAATAAGTTCTAGAGGGTTGCTATTTAGCATATCTTCGATTTCCTTTCCAGCTATGTTTGTATTCTTATAGCCCCATCTGGTGGAATGGGCGTTGAAGTCTCCTTATACTACAGTTCGAACTATTCTGGGGTGGATTATGGACTGCGTATATCTTGAAGTGATTGGACATTTCAAAACACTTAATCTGATTATTTCACACATGTCTTGCGTCGAGCCCATACTCTTGATTATTTTTCAATGTGATTTTAGGCCGTTTTTATTCCAGTCAATATTCTACTTGCTATATAAGGTATAACCCGGAAATTAGTGCTATTTGAGTTTGTCATCCGTGAGGTGGGCTTTCATTTTTGTGAATATGCTTATATCATGGGTGCGAGAATTTTCTTGATCTGTATTTTCTTGTCTTGTGATATCCCTCCAGAATTCCACTGAAGGATCTGTAGAAGTTGTGTTTCACCCTACCAAGAACGATTTCTCTTTTAGCTTTGTTTCAAGCTGATCATAATAGTTTGAAGTCAACTGCCAAATTATAGACTTTTTTGCCGCATAAGTATACGTTTTCCAGGGTATACCATGCGGAGGCAAGTCTATTGCTCCATTTTAAAATTAAGGGAATTACCATTTTTGAATGTCGAATATATATGTCCTAAGTAGATGGGCGATATTTTTGGAATATCTTTTCGCAAAAATATACTCCCTATTAATTGAGTATAATGTGCCGAATTTATTAACGACTCCGTTTGCAGATTCCACAAAATGCCACATTTGTCTTGTTAGGGCAAGTTTTTTATCAAAATTAGCATATAATTTTGTAAATATTGTTAATAATATTTATTAAATGAAATGACGAATAAATGAGTTTATTTGATACACTGCTTAATGTTGATGATAGTGATCGACCAACTGCGATTACCTCTGAACTAGTTTAGCCCTTGAAATGTTGAGCATTAGAAGTCTGTCATGCAAGCTAACTTCTTTAGCATTTATGAAACCCAGCGTTGGGTAAATTGTTTGTTTTGCTATTATACGTAAACAGTGCCCAATTTTTTAAGTTCAGCGTTGAAGCTAACACCAATGATCAGAAGCCCACACCAGAAAATACTGCTACAGCTTCATCCTCACCCCCCGCTGATAATAAGCAACTTGAAGAACTCACTCACAAAAACCTCGCACTCCTAAAGGAGAAACACGATTTTGAGGATAAGTATAAGAGAGCATTAGCTGAAGCGGAAAATGTAAGGAAACGAATGCTTCGACAGGTTGAGGAGGCGAAAATTTTCGGAATCCAATCTTTCTGCAAAGATCTCTTAGAAGTTGCCGATATTCTCGGCAAAGCGATCGAAGCTGCCCCTGAAGACCAACTTAAAAATGGTGTCAATCCACATTTTCTAAATCTTTACGAGGGATTGAAAATGACTGACGCTCAGTTGCTCAAGGTAATTTTTTTGGAACTCCTGTCTTAATGATTTTATAATTTTAGGTTTTTGGAAAGCATCATTTGCATAAAATTGCTCCTGCTATTGGTGATGTCTTCAACCCAAATGTTCATGAGGCCATGTTCACCGTTCCTGTTTCAGGTAATAATAAACCCAACACGATTGCTGTCGTTCAGAAGGTGGGGTACAGTCTTCAAGAACGAACACTTCGTCCCGCTTTTGTTGGAGTATTTGCAGCCCAGTAATTCCGAAAATCACTAGTTATAACAGTCGTTTCTAATCTATTTTCATGTGTATATATACATACAAATTTTAATCATGCTCATTTCTTTTTACTGTTTTTCGACGCGTTGCGTGCTGAATTCGATTATTCCGTTGGCTAGGCGGCAAATAAATTTTAAGTTCCGTTTTGAATTCACACTTTATTTCTGTGCAAATCGACGTCACAAAATTTAGATATTTCTGGTACCTGATTTATTTAAGTTCATTTAAGATGCATAATGATCAAATTGCAATAACACTAATAAATGGAATCTCCTTAGTTCATCACTATACTTATGTTAGTTTAGTTGTTCAAAAGGGATTTCTTGGTTGAGTCCCTCAATAACCACTTAATCAACTGGTACGTTATGATCATAATGCTCAACAAAGCGTGGCCAGATATCAAATCCAAATGGATAAAATCCGGCCAGTACGAAGCAGGCTGAAAGCCTCTTCCATCAAATCCTCCTAGAAGCAGAAGGATATCTTTCACAGAGCTGAAACGAAGTGTTTGTGAAAATTGGGAAGGTTTTAATATCATCCAAGTGGTTTGGCAGTATAATGCATGACATCAAATTAGGCCGGCACTAAAAAAGTACCTTAAATGGAGAAGCAAACTGATCGAAACTTTGCCGAAAAGCCTCGACATAACATTGCTTCTAAAGCAATAATTTTTTGAAAATCAAAAGTAAGTGGTATAAGAAGAGATTGTTTGGGAAAATTAAAGGAGAATTATTGGCAACAAATGTGAAAAGGTTAGGCATTTCGGACAGAAAAATAAAAGAAATGCTACGGCAATAAACACAATGAAAATTCTAACCAGGAAAATGAATTAATACGTTATCATAGGGAAGCATTTATAATTTAACCTTCTTTGGGAAGACTAAACCAGAAATTAAAGACTAGACAAGCAAGTTAACGAGGTAAAAGGGATACTTTTTTAACATAAAAAAGGAAAAAATTACCGATGAAATCTCAGAGGTTGTACCACATCCTCCTGTTGCCCAGACTTCGCCCATCCGATCATCACATTTTCAAGGCCATGGAGCATACTCAAAGATTTATATCAAATGGCAATAACCCTTTAGTTGACTTCGGGCTTCACAGAGGGGAAGAGCGGACAAAGTCACAAAAAAGTCGGGAGGGGAACAGAAGAGTGATTCATAGATGTAAACGAGACAGGCAGACACAAAAGTTAGAGAGAAATAGGAAAGGCCAGGTAGAAATGATCAAATATGACTTACAGTGGGGCTATGGTAATTTGAAGTTAGAAGTCAACTGCCGGTTAATAGACTTTTTTGCAGTATGAGAATACGTCGACCAGGGTGCAACACGTGGAGGTAAGTCTAACACACATCTACACACTGTAACATTCTTACCAGGAAAACTGTATTATTGCGCTATTGTACACATGCATTCGTAACTCACAATTTTCAGCTATGCCTTCTTTGAGTCTTAATAGCTGTGGCATTAATAAGGGGCAAATGCAAACTTATTAAATAAGCGATGAAATGCGCATCCATTTAAGTAAAAGGTAACCCAATACAATGAGAGTAGAGAATATTGTTAAAATGTCGATAACAACTCGCACCTCAATTCAGAAGCCTGACAGAAAAAAATAATTTATTCACAAAATCAGATAAAGATATAAACAAGACAATCAGATCAGTACTTAAACCGGCAAAGTTGAGCCTGAGCCACCAGGCCTGAGGGAAGAAAATTTGCTCATAAAAGAAAGAACTTTAGTTCCACCCCAAATAAATTGTTTCAATTGCCAAAAGCCAAGTCCAACCTGAATACCGATGGCCAATAGCGCACAAAGAGTACTTCGCCACCAAAACACGCCGTAAATGCCAAGAAAAAGGCTCGAAAAGTAAACCAATGTTGAGACAATTCGATCCTTTGTCACTAATCCCTTAATGTAAGACCAAGGGCCATAAGCAAACGCGAATGCGAACATGAGAGCAATGTTCCCGAGAATATACATGAAGACGAATTTTCGGAGACCAGAAGGAGTAGCAAGAAGAGGAATAAAAATGAGAGCAAGAGAGAAAAACAGAGATGCGCAGAAGGCGGAAATGCCAAAGTAAAGGAAACGGTGACTCCGTGAAAGACCACGAAATGACTCGGGTTCGGAGTTAGATGGAGTAGAGAACATGAAATATGGGCGAGAGAATATGGAAGTGGAAGAAGTCGTTTGTCTTGAGGGTTCATTTGGAGGAATATCAGTTATAAGTGGTATACGGTCTGAAGAGACCGATTTTGCAGAAGAATCTTTGTTAAGAAAGCTTTTAAGAACGGGAGGAAATGAATATGTGTCATCAGTAATGGTTGCCGATTTACCAAACATGGAAAAATTGAAAATCCTAAAGTACCAAGAATAATAAATGATGATCAAACAAGGGGCATTAAATGAAAAACCTTGACGAAAACAATTATTTCAAGTACACTTGCAATATAATTCCACAACTAAGACGGGACGCAGTACTGGTAACCTACGCAGCGAAAAAGCACAAAGGTCAATAACTACCTGTGACATTAAAAACCTGTGAAAGTTCGATTTTATCTTACATGCGAATTCTAAAAAAAATATGTGGAAAGCATAAAATTTGTTAATTGAAATATTTTGCAGGTTGTGGTGGAAAATACATTCTAATAGACTTGGTATTTTGCATAGTACCAACATAACTAACATTTTAATGGAATATGTGATTCCTTATGTAAATTTTTCCCAAGTAGTCACAATCTTGCAATGAAGAAACTGGAGAAGAATTTTAATTTGTTTATGAGTCTGTTCATATTACCATAGATTAGGTTTTCTAATACATACATGCTGGTGTTTGTGAAGGTCTCGAAAGTAAGACGCCATGAATCTATCACTTATGTGCCCAATCGAGGATCAAAAATCAATAATAACCAAAATTTGAAGCAGAAGGTAGAGTATATATTAAGTATAATTATTAAAATTTGCTATAAGCTTTACAATATACCTTATTTTTTGACGCTCCATTAGCATAATTTCAATTAGGTTGTCTAAAGTAACTTTCCATAAGTTTGATAACTTCAAATCAAGAAATGTTTTAAGAGATATGACGTAATGTCTTCTAGTAATAAGAAAGTTGCTGTTTCAATACAGCTTATAGAAAAAGGAAACAATTCATCTTTGAAACAAAACACGAGAATATAATAATCTATTGAGTACAGCAAACACCAACCAAAGGAAGTTAGTACCACTATGAGTATTGAGTAAGATTTGCATCAGATAGACGCAATTTACAAACTAACTCATCCTAAATTCGGGAAAGTAATAATTCTAACATTTCTCTACCAAAGATGCCTGATTGGAATAATGACGCTTGTTAGTTGATTAAAAAAGCTTGAATTTCCAACTAAATTTAAAGCGAAAGAATAGTGAGGTTTATTTTCATTATACTCATTTTCAGTCTACCAGCGTTAAGCGCTGGAAAACTTCTCGAAATATGTAAAGAAAAATATATCATACATTTTCAATTCATGCTTATGGAAGATAGCGTAGAAAAGGAAATCATTTTATAAAACCATCAATTATAGTGAAGTATCCAACCAATTTTAACCAATTTATCAAAATTTAGGAAATTTGTCCTCCACAAGCTTCGCCACATTTCCCAATCCTCTCTAACGCCTAGCACAGCGAACTTAATGTTCGTTCACTTATTTTCAGTCTTGGATGAACTTTTACTAAAAGTAAATACATATCCACCTCTTTTTTGGAAGGAAATCGCAGATACATTATCAATAATAATATTATGCACTCTCGTTAGCTTTAGGTGAGTAAATATATCATTGTCTTATTTAGAATACATTTAAGTAGAAATATATGTGGTACTTTATGGAAGGGTTTCAGAGTTATATGATGGATAGGTGTATATGGTTATTTTAAAAGATGACCAAAATTGTTACGAAATATAAGACATTAATTTACAGAAAGAAATGAATTTTAAAGTGAAATTGCATTTTAACAAACAAATCTTCTAAACAAAATAAAAAGATTAAAATTCGCGCAGATTAAATATAAACGGATACGATAATGTTTTTTTGAATATCAAGACTTTTTAAAGTTCTTTAGTTTTAGCAAACATTGTTTAACCTAATATACTTGCTGACAAACAACCTTGTATCTGTTCCGCGCCATTACCATATCTGGCTATTCGTTTCTGTAACTCAATTTAGCAATGATTGGAAGTCCTGTATGTGTTGGTGAATCATCAGAAAGAAAGTAAGTTAATGATACATTCATATCATCTTATATGATTGACCTCTTTTTAACATTTTAGTCATGAAAGTAACGTTTAAATAGTTACATTGCAAAATTCTTCAAATACTTTTCATTTATTTCATTTTTAATTTCTAATATACACTGCCTTTTATTTTTCTTTCTTTTGTTTAGCCATGAGACTGATTCTTCTTCTACTTCATCAGCAAATTCTAAAGTTCAGCCACCTTCAATAACTCTTAATCACAGTATTCAATCCGATTTCTGTAAGGCTTTACTTAAATAATTTCTTCTATCTAGGCTTCGAACAAGCTCGTCTTAGAGAAACTAATAATGCTAAAAAATTATTAGATCTTCCTGCCGATGTTTGTTATACTTTGCCTTAAATTACATTCGTGTCTTCTTTAGGATAACCAATTCCTTGTTGCCAAAGGCATCCTTACAAAAATATGTCGCAAAAAACCGAAACAGAGAACCTTCTTCTTGTTTAACGATTCGATTGTCTATGCAAATATTTCTTTTGGCAAATTGGTATGATCAGTTTTTCTTATTAGAATTGCTCCTTCTTTTACTAGCTTGCTCATCCGCACGCGTTTAAATTGGAAGAAGTTACGATTACGGATGTGATTGATAGCGGAAGTAAGATGCCCTCTTTGAATCACTCGATTTAATCTCCTCTAGTTTATAGATACGGCTTCATTATCGAAACTCCAAAAAAGTCTTTCACTGTATACGCCTCGCTTGCAGAAGAGAAGAGAAGGTGGGTGGAAAGTATTAACCTATACGCCGAAGCTGCAAGACAAGCTGCTGGGAAAGGTTTGTTCTTATTTGTCGCTTACGTTTTTAACACCTACGCTTACCTGATCGTTTAACTTACTATAAAGCCGTAACGTCGTTGTGTGTGCTAATTATCTGCATATTATCATCTGCACGCGATAACTTCATGGTCAGTAATCAGCTCAAATGCTAATTAGCTTCATAGGTTGGATGTAGAGTTTGTATGTTATTAGGGACTTGAAATGACTTTCAGTGATTAGTAAATGGATTTAAAACTCGATTGAAATCTTCAAATTGGAAATCTAAGAGGCAGAAAATTTCTACATGTTCTTATCCCTAAATGCATTCAAAATAACCCCATAACGCTTTTCTTTACACGTACTTTGGACAGAAGCCATGCATTTTCATCACCCCAGAGATTTAACAATCTGTAAACTAGCTGCGGCACCGAAACTGAGATCTTTAAATTCATAGACGAGCATGAATTCCATCATCTATTGGAAGTTGGCAAGGTCTTCCGATTATGCCGTTCTTCACCACATCCAGGATTTATGAAATATAGTCAAGTAGTTACCAAGATATACAGTCTTACATCCAAATATTACTTCTTAAATGAAATGGATAATCAATGGAGTTGTCAGTATACTTATCTGCGACGTCTGAAATCACAAGTTTGTCCCCAATCAGTACACACCTACTGCACTGGTTCAGTCCGGCTATAAAAGGAGTGGCAGAATCTGAGGCAGTTTCATGGTGCTATTCTTCCACACTAAATTATTATTGTAAGTCACTGTCATAGATGGACTTGGGGGTTATTCATGATCATTATGAGCATCTTGTCACCGATTAAACGTAGAGTTTTATACATTGGGTGCCTTATACCTAAATCATGTGGGCATATGCTATCCACTCGTTTGAAAAGCTTTGACTTTATTTTACAGATCAGAATTCACCTCAGTCTATCAACAATTTTTGTTTTGTGCTTCATCTATTCCTATAATTTAGATGTCCAAAAAAACTTATCTCTTCTCACAAAATCACCGGTCTGGATTCCTAATTCTGAAGCGACTCATTGTATGGTGTGCATGGTTACTGAATTCACTCTCGTTCAGCGTCGAGTAAGTTTGTTTTTCTTTCAAATTTGCTAATGGAAGTCATTCATAGAAATAGCTTATGAAAGTGACCCCTTATCTTGATTTTCACACTATATGTAACTTGATTATTTCATTCCAATTGCGTCTTCTCTTTAATCTTGATGACATGGAGTAATTAAGGCGTGTAAGCATTTTTAGGTAACACTGAGTTTCTGTATTTTTTATACTATGCTACAAACTATTTTGTTTACGAGAATACGACTTCACGAACCGGAGTATTTGCAATGCTCAAAATGTCTTCTTCATGAAAGTTGATATATCAGTATGATTTTGGATATTTGGTGTTCACTTTTCATTATGCTTTATGGTGGTGTTAAACAGATTACCCTTGAAGGATTGCCAAATTCTCCAATCAACTTTAACGGTATTTTACGAAAACTATTGTTTACCTTTATCTTGTAGACACCTTGACCCTAAGTTGCTCTTACTTTGATATATTTTTAGTGCTTACCCTGGTTGACGACTAGGCCCTTACTTTTTCACTAATACCTGCACTCTTGAATGCTTTCAAATTCTTCTAGTGCATGAAGAAATATTTATTTATGCCAAATGACAGGCGTTTTGATAGTCATCACTAGCCCTATAGTTGACTTCAGGCTTCGCAGAGAGGAAGAACATCAAAGTGAAAAAGTCGAGACCGGGGGGGAGGAGGGAAGAGTGTTTCAAAGATGTGAAAGAGACAGACACAAAGGTAGATGACAGGTGAGGTGAGTACTGTGAAGTAGTCGAATATGACATGTAGGGGAGTGATGGTAGTTTGAAGTCAGAAGTCAACTGCCGGTTTACGGACTTTTTTGCCGTGTGAGTATACGTTGCCCAGGGTGCACCATGTGGAGGTAAATCTATCGCACAACCCCATGAAGAAATATAGGACCCTGATTAATTTTACCTGTTAATTTTTTTTCTTTAACTGAGGCTCTGAATGCCCATTTCACCAACTATTCGTATTTATAAAATTTATTTCCCGAATTTCCGTTGGATTATCTTTCCTCGATGTCTATTTGTACAATTGAAAGGTATCAAGTATGTTTCGCGTAATTTTACTCGTATTCTTAACCGATTAACTAAACGGTCTTCTGAATTTTGCTTTCTATTATTTGAAATATGGTCTAAATAAGCCTTTAGGCAGAACTAGAAGCAACAGTTTTGGAAAGAGTGGGAATTTACCATATTAGCAAAACCTTGCCAAAGGCAATTTCGGAGGCAATTCTTTACGATCTACTGTCAGCCCTCCTCTGACAGCTCATCTGAAGGATGTCTTGAACCTGTGAACAATCAATTCACATTTTTTATTTTGAAATCTTTAGCACCACTGCAGAAACTGCGGTAAGGTGGTTTGCAGCAAGTGCTCCCAACATCGCTGGGTCCTACCCGCCCAGGGTCCCAATAAACTCCGTGTCTGCAAACACTGCCACGACCTCCTACGATCCCAACAAGTGAAGAACGAAAAGGCCGCGGAAGCAGCAGCCAAAAATGACTCCATTTACACCAGCAACAGACTCGACTTACCTTCTCAAAGGCTACCAGTATTCGCTCCTCCCAGTAAGTTAATTTGGTACCCTAAGATATTTTAATTAAAGGATATCCTGTAAACACTTGAGAAGTAATTGAAAATAGTGCAAGAAATTTGAAATTTCACAAAACGCTGTTTTACTTCCATCCAAACAAAAGCGGTCTGTTTGAAAGTCCCCTATTGTTCTTTTATGTTTCATTTATTTTATATCTGAATCGCTTTATTAAATGGCCGCCACAAAGCTATTATTACAATACATCTTTTTGACATTATGATGATGTTATTTATCTAAAACTGAATTGATCTTGAGTTATTTCACATGTGACTGAATCCAAGCATCAAATGTGGGGCTTAATTGCAAAAAAAACTATTTCAGTGATAGTGAGGAAAAGATTGTTGCATAGTTAAATTTCAATTTCTACGAAAAAGGTATGGGCTTATACTTTTGGAATGCAGACGAACGACTGTCTTTAAGAATCTTACTCTAGGTGTCAATCTCAAGTTATAAAATCCTTCTCGTATTTTAACGTCGATGGTACTGACTCTTGCCAGCATAAAATTAAACTAACTTGATCATCAAACGAAATGGATAAGTGTATGATTGTTTTGGTGAATAGCTAAAGGAAAGTGGATTCGTATTTAACATTCAGGCGAATGTCTGTATAAACGTGGTTTTCTGATCTGAATCGGGGGCAGGTTGTTCAGGTATGCTTGGTAGAGGATGGTTTTGGTGTTGGTGGCACATAACTAGTAGCTCAAATGGTTCAATCCTCACTTTGAGCTAACATTAACTCACCCTTTTGAGTCGAGTGTCATAAATATGGGTTTTCCAAATTCAGAGTTTAAAGTAAGTTTGAATAATGCAGTCCTATAAAAAAAGACTTATTGGTCTTATATTACTCAAACAAAAATTTATGTCTGTATTTGGTAGATTGTTGTTTGAAGTATCTTCGCTTCATTAGTTTTCCGATGGTGGGACCTTTTTTATTCCAATGATTTCTTTCTCATACTTTTCTATTGACATTTTATCGAATATTTTCTTGACGAGCGTACCTAATACTTGGTAGAGTTGTCGTTTCATGGTCTTCTTTAAAATTTCGATAATCTGTCCACAGGGTTTTAACACAAAAATTAATCAATAACTTATTTTTTTTAATGTCCTTAAAATCTACCTAATTACGAAACTTTCAATTAGGTGCTTCACTTTAACCAGATCATAGAAGTTGCCTATTCACTCCTTTGGCAGTGTACAAAAAAAGTTACATTAACCTTCTTATATTTTAAAAATTGAATGATGATTTCTCCTTTATTTTGATTGATGTTTGTTACTATTTCGTAGCAGATTTTTGCTATTCGCAGTCACTCGCATGCACGCTTTCAATGAATGCAATGACAAAGTTCTCAATATTATTTTTTACTTAAACGGTTGAGACTATACTTTTTTTGTTTACTTCAAATGATTTGCACACTTCGTAGCAGTAGAATAAAGGTGAAGTCGAAGTCAAGGGTGAGACAGGCGTGTGGGTGTTTTAAATCCGCGGTATCATCTATTGTGAAGCCCTACCCTCAAAGGCGATCAAAGTTCATTTTATTTCGGGACACTCCACTTCAGTTTTAAATTTTAGTTGTGCTTTCCCGGATGTAATTCACATCTTTAGATTTCCTCAACTGTTTATTTTATTTGTCTATTTGTTTTATTTGTCAGAAACAATTTCGAGGCTCAGTTTGAATACAGGGAACATTTTAGCTAATCGTTTAAAGAGTGAACTCAATTCTCTCAAATTATATTAGGTACTGGATAGTCTTTAAAAACGGTGTTACTACTTCTCTTGTATAGGTGCCTTTTGCTAACAAATCAGTAATTGGTGTATCAGTCTAATCTGACTTCTCATTTATAATGCAATTATGTTGACTTGGATTTTTAGGGGTATTTTCATCTCTCTTTTATGGTGCAAGAAAAGAAAAAATTCTATCTCTGAATTTTATTTCTTACATTTTCATCGGGAATGAAATCTTCTCTCTTATTTAACCAACGACTACTTTGAAATGAAGTTAAAATATTTAATAGCTGTACTATACCTTCCTAACATTACTTGGAATAGGCGCTTTATGTACCTTAATAATGCCTTTAGTTAGCATCGAAGTTCTTGTAAAATGCATATTGTTATCCTCTTCGATGCCATGATCAGTAATTTTTTTTCTTTGTTAACAAATTTGAAATAGCTTTCATTTGGCTAAAACAAGAAAATTTATGTTTGGTCATATGATTTGGATAAGGGTTGTAGGTTGCTATGCTCACTTGTACCTTCTACTCAAAGATATTATTTTTAGGATGCTTTGGTTGCCGCACAAATCCGGCTTATCAGAAGTCATGAGTTCGATTTCCATCGTCACGTATATAGTAGGCACAACGACTAAACAGGTTGGTTGAATTTGAGTATCTCACTAGGAAAGCTCTAGTGTACCCCTATCTATCTAAGGAAAACCTTGTGGAACTTTCCAGAATGAGCTTTGGAACTACTTATTTACAGCTTACGAAGCCATAGATTTGCTTAGCATCACCAGCTGTAATTTTCTAAACTGATTTCTTAGTGTCTAAGGCTTTGAGATCCGTTAATGTAGTGATCGGTGATTTACGAAATGGTATTCCAAGATAGCTATTTCTTGATATTCCAAACTCAGTGCATTAATCGTTGAAAATTTACGCAAAATATTTAATGCATTGGCATTTTAGTTTTGTCTTACGTTAGGTTTAAGGCCTAATCATTTCGTAGAAAAAACATGGTGAATCTATTTTTAACTGTAAAGCCGTCGTAGTTTCTTGGTTTTGTCAACTATGTTATTTAATTTAATTACCTCTGCTTTCACTATGTGTTTACGCATTAACTTGCATCTACGTCAGTCTAAATTTCTATTTTCAGAATTACTATTCAGTCTTTAAAGTTGAAGGACTTCTTCTGCTTCTCCTATGAATAATTATCCCTTTGTGATCTTATTCAATTCATTAAGATCGATTCTGTCATTTTCGATGGGGCTATTTCATGCATAGTAATGATGACCTTAATTAGGCGTAGAAATCGACTCCAGAACAGAAGTAATTAATGTGAATAGTTTTCTGTTGTTTATTCGAATTAAAATTATTTAAATAATCCGACTTAGACCCTTTCAATTTGAAATGGTTGAATGCGATGGTTTGTTATATCCCTGTTTTATTTATGCTAACCTGTTTCGATTTCTCCATATTTGCACGTATTCATTAGTCTTGAAGTTTCTTGAAATATTTGAATAGCAGTGGTAGTATTGAATAAATTTTCGCACTGACAATTTAGTCGAATCTGTCAGATGGTGTAATGACTAAGTACCACTTTTGAAATGGGAAATCGAATTTATTTGTTTAATATTCGAATTTGCACAGCTTGTAATAATTTGTTAACATTTCATTGGGGTACATGTATAAATTCTAAAACATAATATTAATAGGAGACCAGAAATTAATTTGGGGGGGGGGGGTGGATAAACTGATCGCTTAAACAATTTCCCCACTTGTCCGCAAATCTTAACTAAAGCTCCTAACCACCAATCACTGGTCCTTCTGTGTCGCTTCGACCTAGTAGTAGTTTTTGTTAAAGTCATAATCGATTTTTTATTGACTTTCTTTAGATTGGCAACAACAGGTCGAAGAGAAGTTAAATTACGGTGAAGGTGATTCAGACAGTGATACGAGCAGTGACTTCGATGGTCACTTACCTAATACTCACCTTTCGGGGTAAGTAGTATTTCCCCTGTTAACTGCTATTTGCAATAACGCTGTATTCCATAACCCCCTATGTATGACTTTAGTTAAAATCACGATGGTAGGTTCACATTATTGGATGAAGTGCTTATAAGGCGTGAAGATTGAAGCTGCATTTAACAAAACCTAAACTAGATGGATTTGGTCTTACGAAAATATTTAATATTTTAGCTTTCAAAATGTATAGAATAGTTCTCGTTATAAAAGGTAATCTAACTATTAGATTTCTGTTTTTTTTCATGAATTTTCACTCGGTTAGAATATTCAAATTCAATTTCTTAAAAATTAATCGGGTTTTAGCGACAAAGTTAGTTTTACTATTGAAAACTTTTAACTCTCTTTGCAGCAAAAGTTACCAGCAATATATGCTTCCATACGGTGTTGTGACACCGGTAAATTCTGATATGCAGCCGCGGTCACTATATTTTCAACACAAACTATTAGGGCGAATACGAATTAACATAAAGATGTGATCAAAATACCACTGCTCCCATGATAAATGACTCATTGGAAGAACTTTCAGCCGTCCGTCAATCTTATCAGGACAAAGCGGGAAATTTTTAGGCCAAGAAATTTTTCTGTCGATTCCATTGGTTCATGCATGCACACACGGTAGGCCATTGACCAATGCCATCGTAGATTTTCTCCCACTGATTAGTTAGACATTGACCAATAATGTTATACTTGAAATGAGATTGTGTTGGCGGTTGTAGTTCTGGGCCTCAACTCTGCTTAAATGATGTTGATTCGTCAATAGAATGCCTTAGAATACATTAGATATCTATTGCAAAGTGCTTTCCTGTGGTTTATGATCAAGTTTTTTTAAATCTTTGTGTCTTTTAGTGTGAATGCGACCTACAGGACACAATTTTAGGTAAAATTTCTCTCTTACCCATTTTTTATGTGCTTTGTCAAGTGTCTTTTAAACCAAATCGAATTCTGTTTACACATACATGTGACACGTGTATTTTTTTAAGCACACTCACACACACGCGCGCATGAACGGCACATACTCGAAATTCTTAGCATATAAACACAACTGAAATCACAACTCCAAATACACAAATGCATTGTTACTTCATGTATGTTCGGTTCAAAGTACGCTTTTTGGACAAAAGCGAAGTTTATTTTTCCTTTACATAGTGCTCTATGCAGAGATATCTTGTTGCATGCAAGCAAGTGGTAAGGGAGCTAATTTTTACTATATTGATCAAGTAGATTGTGGTAGGGTATGTAACATTAAAGTCTAACTGGAATGGACCTTTTTTATAGTTAAGGCGCCAAAAAGATCATTGAATGTGTCTTAGAAATAAGTAGGCGAAGTTAGGTGGATGGATCGTTTACAAATGAAACGAAATTAGTCACTAATGTGTGACTAGAGAAGTAAAAGTTCGACGCCGGCCAATAGACGCACTAAGCGGTGAACATGTATTTGTGATGAAGTTATACCATAAAGTGAGTCCTTTACTCCCTTCGTACGGTCGGTGATAGATAGGTGATTTAACTTAGTTGAGAAATAGAAGTGTTTTCTTAACTTAAAAATCTTGTATTCCGCAAATCTAGAAGCTTTAGCAGCTACGTCCCTGAAAATTCAATTATCTTTATAACCGAAATCTCTGCTGAAATATGTTAAGGAATTGAGCCCACTTCATGGTAAAGTGGGGCGGGGGGGGGGGGGGGGGGGGGGGGNGGGTGGTATACGAAGGTAAACGAGAAGTCTAGAGCAGTCCAAAGGTATGCAATTATCTTAATTCATGTGCTTTTTGGGTACAGATTCTAAAATATTTGTGTAGTGGATTTCAACGCAATTCTTATCTTCGATGTCACGTACATATTAACCACTCGATTGATTAGAATGGTTAGTCGTATTACTTAAATTCCTTTTTTCTTCAAATCAAAGGCTAGGAGAACGGAGTGTTCTTTGTTATGATCTTCTCTTCTCTGTCAGATTCCGTAGCCTAAGACGTTACTCGAGTTACAAGTACAAACCGGTAACACCATAGTGCAAAACGAACAAAAGCACTATAGTGAAAAAAAGACGCATGTCTTCGTATTGGACAGGCTTAATACCATTATCCTTCAATTTCATTTGTAGTGTAAATTGGTTCACTTTAATTAAAGTAACTACAAGGTGGAAGTAAAAGAAACGTACAAAAATTATTTTTGAAGAAAATATTATTTCCATATATGTGGCACTCTAATGGAATGCATGATCTTAACATATTTAAGGTGAGGGTGGTTCACTGAATGTGACCTCTAATTGATTGCTATTTTTGGTCGCAGCTGCAATTCTCGCCTATTTTATCTAAACAAGTTATATTTTGCCATTTTGGGTGTTGCTTTGAAATGGTCTTTATGTGTATATTTTCATTTAAATAATCGAAGTGTAAAATATACATTGGGATCACATTTGACTGCTCAACTGTTTCTAAGTATTGATCCAATATTTATTTATTTCAAATGGCAGCCGTTTTGATAGATATCATTAGCCATTTAGCTGACTTCGGGCTTCACAGAGAGAAGGTTCATCAAAGTAGCAGAAAGTCGAAGGGTGGGGAACAGAAGAGCGGTTCACAGATGTAAAAGAGGCAGACAGAAAGGTAGAGAAAAAGGTAAGGTGAGTACTGTGGAAGGGGTCGAATATGACAACCAGGGGGGTCGTGGTAGTTTGAAGTGAGAAGTCAACTGCCCAGGTGCTCCATGTTCCCACCGATTTTGGCCGGAGTTGGTTGAGTGTGCCGATTAGCCAACTCATGAGAGCCCGGGTGGCAAATATACCTCGGTTGCTGTTTCCAGTCTAGTTTGAGAGAATATTGAGTATTGATCCAATATAGAAACAGGTCTCTCTATCTATTTGTCAGCAATGATATCGAACAACTATAGATTCATAATTAGTGTATTTTAAAACAGATTCTAACTGCCTAATGAATATTAATTTTTTCTTAAATCTACTTTCTTATGCTATAACTAACTTGTAGCGGATTGCTACGATAGTAGAGCCTGACTGACTCAGAAATTTCTATGGCAGATCCTCCTACATCTAGCTAGACTCCCAGAACCGGCTAAGCTATAACCCAGCTATAAAGGAAACAGACGTGTAGCACGAAGCACGTTTATTCAGTGAGTATATTGCGGATCATGTGTACATGCAAGGAGCTACTCATGATCAGGATGGGGGGGGGGTTAGGTTAAACAAACAGAGGTTGATCATTGGTCACTGTTTGTACGGTCACTGCACACAGAGTTGTACGGCCGCTGCACACAGAGTTGTACGGCCGCACCTCCCAATCGTACGGTCACTGCACACAGAGTTGTACGGCCGCACCTCCCAATCCTGGCGAGCAATCATGCAGGCATACGAAGACGCACTACGCTATAACCTGTCCCACAAAATTATGTGAATATAACAAGAGCAAACTGCTGTAGATATCTAATGAATTCCTTTCGTGTAATTCCGTGTTTTAGTTTAGAGTTGGTGATATTTGTCGCACCAAGCAAAGCTGCTATTCCCTATGTTGTTAATCTTGCAATGCACTTTTTCTTTCAGGCGTCCTTAAAGTGCAATACTGAGATCTCTTGAAGCGAACAATTTGAATTCTTGTGGATTTTTGCTGGTCAATCGTTCCACCATGTATATCATCCTGAACCAGTCAAATATCGGTTTTGTATTTTTCTGTTATTTTATATCTGCTTATTGCTGCTGAAAGAACTTATGTAAACTCGTGTCTTACTACTTTGCTTTAACATATAATCTCATTTACATTGAGATTATACTGTTTTGATGTGATTATTCTGTATAAGTATAACTCAGCTCATATTTGACTGCGTATTTAATTCCTGCGTTTGAATAGGAGGACTGAGGAATAAACCAGGTTACCCCTATTGCCGGAGTATTTCAGTTAAAAACACTTAAGTTTGTTGATATAAATGCCAAGTTTATATAAAACTATTTTTTAACAAGATGTCAGCCATGTTTGACCTTCAGTGTATGGTGCATGGGTTCAGATATAAACACAACTAGATCTACTTTGATGGGTTGCCCATGGCGAAGACCTAGCTTCGGACGTTAATCATCACTAGGTGTTGGAATTAAAGAACATATCACCATTGAATTTTTTTAATTAAATGAAATCGGATCATTCAGACAAAGTTATTTAAGGAGAAATTCTCGAATTCCAACTTACCCGATATTAAGCAATTACAGAAGCGTAGTGCCACGCAAGAAATAAATATCTTCCAAGGTTATTAAATCACGGGAGATTAACGTATGATGAAGTTCTAGGGACGAAGCTTGTAAGGTATGATCTTCATCATATATGGGACTATCAAAAGACTCAGCTGGATTACTAAACGGATTAATGTCTATTGCTTAAATTCAAATAGACTCGAAATAACTTGGAGAGGCCCAATCGGATAAAGAAAAACAAAAACAGCGAATAAATTTGGTTCCCATTGTGGCAGAGCTTTTTAAAGTTGGGAACAAATATTGCGACAAAGATTAAATTTGGCCTGTGACAGCACTTGGTCAGTTAAATGTAAAACTTAAATTATGTGTAGATTGGTTTGAATTTAGACATGTTAATAAAGAGATTTGTATAACAAATGCCAAGAAAACCCTCCAAAGTATAAAAATTGAAATAAATGTGTTAAGTATACAAAGAAGGGGATTGAATGAGGGCATCAGTGGCTTTGAAGTGATTATAGGTAGAGTATTGGAATTTTCGTTTATTTTGCAAATATATCGAAAAATTGAACTGAAAATACGACAAAGCATAAAGGGTTTATATTTTATCTGGTGCATAAAATATTGCACAAACCGTTCCCTTCTAATTGAAACAATTGAAATGCAATCCAATGTCCTATAATATTCAAACATGCAAGTAGGTATCATCATGTTCCAATGGGTAGGAAGTAGAAGATACCGTAAAAACAAGATAATTGGTGGAATGTATACAAAAGCTCAATATAGTAAGTACTATGACTATTAAGAGGAATGTTACAAACAAATCGATATTTAAATAAAGTCTTACACATTGCTTATTTCTAATACAACAAATTGTAAAAGTATTTGGCCTTCAAATTATAAGTCGCATTACCGCAGAACTAACGTCTCTTAAGATAAAATACGTGGAGAAAATCAGAACAATTTTGTTCATTTATAGGGGAATACTAGCTAAAACTGCAGAAAGTAACAATAGTCTTATTACTAAAAGAAGCCAAACGGAAAAGTGGAACCGAAAACTGGTATTATTTATGAAATTACCAAATCAGATTTTGTGTACATATTTTTTGAATCTGAAACTGTTTTTAGTAGAAATTTAACGGCGGCTCACTCAATCGACCAATTGAGATAAATCCCACTAATTCGCCTCATACCTCAAAGATAACTAATATCTGTCCACTTCAGATTTCTATGATATTGAATTGATTTCAGATATTAAACTAAAAAATTTATATCACAAAAATAAGATAATTGTCATTAAATTTCAAAAATCAATATCTCTAATAATTTTACTATTAATATAATATAGAGAAATGTCGTTACTCGTAATGCATTGAGTCATGAAGTCATAATTGCAGAATAATATACAAGATTTAACTACGATAAAATATATATATATATATATGTATATTAATCATATGTAAAATCTCACTGCCAGTCATTAATTATTCAAGTTTACAAACAAATATTTATAGTGAAGGTCGAGTTCTTCAAGTTGATTGGCTGAACTTAAGACGGCTTTGAGAAAATTGTGCTTGCTGTTACATTCCCACAATGAAGTAAGCTGTATTTAACTTTTTTATTGATTTAGAATTAATGTTGATGGTCTTCTTGTATACTTTCCATATGAATACATATATCCTGAACAATACCATTATATGCTAGAATTAAAGGCAACTTTAGATGCCAAGGTTTGCCTGTCCACACAGTTATTATTTATATAATTTCAGGGTCATGGTGTACTTGAAATGCCATCAGGAACTGGGAAAACTACGTCGATTTTGTCTCTTATTGTTGCTTACATCAAGGCACATCCTGAATCAGTTGAAAAATTCGTATATTGTTCACGTACTGTCCCAGAACTTGAAAAAGTTATGGGTGAAATGAAAGTTCTCGATCAATATTATAAATCCGAAACTGGATCATCCAATGGTTGCGGACTTCTTGCAGTTGCTCTCAGTTCTCGTAAAAATCTGTGTATCGAGCCTTCAGTTAAAAAAGCTGGTGACGGTGTGGCAACTGACTCCAATTGCCGCAAACTTACTGCCAGTTTTATCCGCCGTCAGCATCGAGACAATGCAGACGTTCCCGTTTGTTCCTTTTATGAAAACTTCGATATCAGTGGACGTGAAGAAATTCTTCCCACCGCCATTTACAGTTTGGTAAGGTTTAAGTTTTTTACACATTCTCTATTATTTTTTCAGAAAGATTTACAAGCCTACGGCAAAAATAAAGGCTTTTGTCCCTATTTTCTCGCTCGCCATGCGGTAAAATTAAAATAGCAATGTCTTATCAATTTATTATTTAGCTAGCCCATGCACATATCGTTGTGTTTAGCTATTACTACATGCTTGATCCGAAAATTGCCGCTCTTGTGTCGAGCGAATTTCCCAAAAATACAGTTATTGTGTTTGATGAAGCTCATAATATTGGTAAGAAATCCTTGGTCGTTAATCACCAGTCTCTTAGATAACGTTTGTATCGAGTCAATGAGCTGTGTCATTTCTCGGCGTTCCTTGGATCGTTGTAATCAAGGCTTGGAAAAATTGGCTTCTCGCGTGGCTGAAGTCAAGCGAAATGATGCTGCAAAACTCCAAGGAGAATACAATCGTCTTGTCGCAGGTCTACGAGAAGCAAGTGTTAGTAGGGAGACAGACGTGGTCTTGGCGAATCCAAGTATGTTCGATCATAGTCTGTGACTCAATCTTGTCATTAAGTTTCTTGATTTTGAACTTTTTTGTTCTCTTCCCTCTAGCTTTGCCGACGGAAATTCTTAATCAAGCCATTCCAGGTTCGCTTCGAAGCGCAGACAGTTTTATTAGTTTTCTTCGCAGATTGTTAGAATACGTGAAGCTGCGTTTAAGAGTAGCACATGTAGTTCATGAAACTCCAGTCAGTTTTCTCAAAGATTGTCTTGAAAAAGTTTGTATCGACAAAAGGGCTCTTATGTAAGTGTTCTCTAGCTCTCTGCCCACAATTCATGATCCTTTTAATAATGAGCGATTTTTTTCCCTTTGTGTTATTTTCTTAGGTACGCTGCGGAGCGTTTAAGGTCGATGCTTGACACTATGGAATTTGCTGATCTTGGTATATTCTCTGGACTTACGCTTCTCTGTAACTTTGCAACACTGGTCTCTACGTACACTAAAGGTTGGTTATCTAGAATAAGAATTTCTCGTTTATGTCTGGCGCTAAAAGTTAGGCTCTTTTCGCAATCACTTCCTGCTTAGGCACTTGTATCTAGACTTCCTAACCCCTAAATTTAATTTCCCGCACTCTCAGTTTAACCGATAGATTTCAAATTTTGCATTGTATTTATTTTTATGGTGTGCAAAATTGATGAAGTATGAACTGGGCGCTTGGTTGTCAACGTACATATGCAGTATGGCATAATTCATGAGATCAATGTCCATCGGCCCACACCTAGTGGTTTGGGTGGTCAATCTGGCCTTTAAGGTGAGATGATGGACTACAACCATCTCATTTGTGGTTTCTTGATGCCTTTCCATATGGGCTAGGGATAGTGCACATGGCATTCATATTCAAACTACAGTCATCTTAATCAAAGAAAAAATATTCTCAAGCCTATACAGAACAAAGACCAGCTTGAAGATACTTCTTTTTACATGGTCTTTCAACTATTTATTTTGATCTATGTAACCAGCTGTCATTAAATTGTCTTCGAACTCCTATATTGTCAGAACATATCGTTTTTAAGGTTCGTGAATTTTCATACAATTTTTTTTTGCTAAATTCGTCAAATTAAATCGGTTTTTTTAAAGATATTTCATTCTGTAAATCCATATCTCTTAAAAGTGCAAGTTTGTACAAAGCTTTCCTAACTAACAATCTTAAATCAATATTACTAAACGAGAGAAGTCTTTCCAATTATCATTGGACGCATTTTTTTAATCTGTTTGATTTAAGTCTCAGGCACACAATGTGGGAAATAATTTTTTGTTGTTATCATTTTATACCTTGCCAGGTTTCTGTGTAATTATCGAACCATTTGATGAACGTGCCCAGACTGTTGTGAATCCTATCCTCTACTTCCACTGCATGGATGCTAGTTTTGCCATCCAACCCATTTTTGATCGCTACTCTAGTGTCATTCTCACCTCAGGGGTATGTCCCTCTTTGAACGGTGGATTTAACTTTCTTGTCTTGTCTTTAATGCTTATTCTTTTATTTTTGTGTATAGACGCTCTCTCCACTAGACATGTATCCAAGAATACTCAATTTCCATCCAGTCAATACAGCTTCACTCACAATGACACTGGCTCGCAATTGCGTCTGCCCAATGGTAAGTGGGTGTAAATGAGGAAAGCGTGCAGGCCCGAAGAATTGAAAGTTTATTAATTGTGCTCGAAAATAGACCGAAAGTAGAGCGTTGACCAGTAGGAATATCAAAGTGTCGATATATGCTCGTATTTATGTCCCCTCTTAGTGTGGGTTTAGTGGCAAAATGTTTTCCTTCCTCTCACATTTGTATTTTTATAATTTTTGGTTCTTCTTTCTTGCATTTTCCTTTTTTATCGTGCCTATCTTCACGATGTTCCTTACCGATATCTTATTTTGATCACCCCTTCTATATTCGTAAAATGAGCAATCAATACGGTCTTTGTCTGGCAAGTAAGATAGCGCAGTAGAGTGTTAACTTACCACGTTTTAAATTAATGTCTGGCATTAATAAACGATCAAAAAGTTTTTCTAGATACTCTACCTCAAAGTCATAAAGCTGAGCTCTGTAGGTCTACATATTTCAAGAGTCACGTGTTCGTTAACTATTGGTGCACGTTCATTCAACGCCGAAACGGATTGCATTGTATGAAAGTGATCAAACTTGGGTCTGATGATTATTGGACTCTGAAATCTTATTCCCCTTTTTCAATGAGTTTTGAGGAACGTGATTTGAACGCATTTTGTGTTTCTATTTACTTCAAATCAATAGATCTGAATAAAAACGATGTTATTTTAAATCCTTTTTAGATTGTTTCTAGAGGCAATGATCAAGTAGCCATGACAACCAAGTTTGAAAGCCGTGAAGATTTGGGTAATTTTGATTCTTATGTTCCAAAATACGTTCTTATTTTGGCATTATAGTTTACAGATTATTTTATTGACCCCTAGCTGTGACTCGCAATTACGGCCACCTCTTAGCTGAGATGGCGAGCATTGTCCCAGATGGAATTGTGGCCTTCTTTCCCAGCTACCATTACTTGGTAAGTGGATCTAACTTTTAATTTTTACTCTCTACTTAGATGATATAAGTAGCATATTGAATAGTGTATGTGCTGATCACGTTCACTGTCATGATGCGGCAAATACGTATTATTAATAACTGTTATTAGGGCTGAAGACATAATTTATGCATTTTATATAGGGTAATAAATGAGGTAGCCTCTTACTTTAATTAGCTAGCCTGGATTTTTGACTTAAAGGTAGGATCTCTATATTTCTTGCAGTCATCTGAAGCTAATAAAGCTGAGATTGAAGGCTCTTAAAGACGAATGCACTTCATTTTATTTCGCTCTATTCAAAAAAATCTCCGATGTGACTTCTTTAGATTTTTATTGTGTCAATTTTCCTTTATTATTACTCATTTTTTGTCTCATTAGTTTTATACACCTGCTTAAACTTTTAATTCAAAAGGCCCTTTGATATCTGGTCCTGCGTTTAACTAGAATCAATTTCAAATGGCCTTCCATTTCTTTCGCGAGAAACTTGCCACATAACTGCATAAAATCAGTTTTTGAGGTGGTTTTCAAGTTCTCAATTGCATGTGTACCATTTAGTAGCTTTAAATCTACAGTATAAAATGCATTCTTTACGAGTTATTCCTGTCCTTCTAGGAATCCACTTTCGCCATGTGGTATGAACAGGTAAATTTCCTTTTATTAAATCTATCTTTGTGTTATCGCTTGGCCTAATTTGAGATTTCCTTTTAGAACTTGATTCAGAAGATTCAGCAGTACAAACTCCTCTTTGTAGAGACGACAGACAGTGAAGAAACCGGTCTGGCGCTAGCAAGCTATCAGAAGGTGGGTCTTCCTTACTCTTGGTTACTGGATGCTAATTGAAGTAACTAAATTAATTTAGTGTTGTGGTTTTTAGGCCTGTGAAAACGGACGCGGTGCCATACTACTCTCCGTGGCACGTGGAAAAGTCTCAGAAGGCATAGATTTCGGTACGCAACAGACGTCTATTTTCCATTTTATCGCTTACTATTACCTCTTATGTTCCCACCTCATTTCAGATCATCATCTTGGACGATGTGTCATCATGTTTGGGGTTCCTTATGTCTACACCCAAAGTCGTATCTTCAAGGTGGGTTTCTAATCAAGTTGGTTAATAAGAAGAGTAATAGATTACTTGAAATTTACACAGGTGCTCATCATTTTAAATGAATTATAGGTAGAATGTTTCCTCTAAGGCCATTGTAGGGGACTGAGCTCGTTTCCACTCAAGTGTAAGGCAACATTCGATACTACAAACCTTTTGTGACATTTGGTTTTAAGAACTGCAACATATTACCAAATTATGAGCTAAGAAAGGATTCAGTGCAATTTCGTTCAAATACTTTTGCATAGTACTTTTTTTATGCAGCACTTTTAAGGTAATTACAAGATTTCCTTCCAGTTAAGTGTCTGCCAAGTAGGCGACTATTCGTAAATCTTTCATCCTCCCTATCTCTCGTAGTTTTTTTTAACCTCAATGATTGATCTCCGCACGTGATGTTTCACTTCAATATTGTCTCACTACCATTGGACTTGTTTTCCCATTTTCACCATATTCCATTAAGCCTCCTGGTAATTGAAAAAAAAATGCTTTAACCACCAAAAATTTCCTATATCATTCAAAATGTCTGAAATAAAGCTTAATTAAAATGACTCGAAAATTATTTGTTATCAAGATATAGAACCATAACAGCGACTTGCTTGAATAGTCCATGGGGAAATATGGGGTGCACTCAAGGTGGAAAATCATATTATGCCACATATTTTTTATATTTGGTGTATTTGAAGCGTTTCATACTTTTGAACAGGCAACTAAGTAGGAAAATCTTGGGTGGTATATCATGTTTTACCTAACCCCCCACCCCCGACTTATTTTTTTGAAAAATGCACCCAACCGCTATCAGGTTGACGGCTATAGACGTTTTGAACATGCTTCGAACGACATTAGCGCCTTCTGTTACGAGTCTAGTATCAATGAAGCTTGTTTTGAAAGAGGGCCATACGGTTCTAAAGGCTTAAAATAGTTAAACTATTAATTAAAATGATAATGAAATAAGAATCGAGCGCAGGAGAGAAATTCAAAGGGCATATGATCATATCACAGTGATTAAGGTGACACCTCAAGGTCCGATTTACGTACAGGCTCTTTGTTGGGTTGGGGATGGGGGTGGATTTTATAGCAAAACCAGCCTTATTTCATCAAGTTAGTATCTCCCTAATTGCTCGATTTGAGGAAAATGTTTTATGTGTTACATTGAATCACCCATAATTCCCATGATCCTCCCTTCAAAATGTCGGCCTTTTGATTTATTAGAGGTAATGGAATAAGTTTGTCCGGGTTATTTTGTGCCCCCCCCCCCCTCCTCTTCCCATGCGTAAAAATTTATCCAAGTTGATTTTGACCAATCCCATTGCGGTATGTGGGGGGCCATGGTTGGAAGTTGATAATTAAATAGTCACATTTATCATCAGAATGGGAAGACAGGCGCGCAGTTCAAATTATGGTGTTCCTCTTCATCAATATCAATTTTTGATGTCTCAAATCAATCATTATTATTATATCAAATGGCAGGCGTCTTGATGGTTATCATTAGCCCTTTAGTTGACTTCAGGCTTCCCAGAGAGGAGGAGGAACATCAAAGTGAAAAAAGTCGAGAGGAGAGGGGGATCAGAAGAGTGTTTCAAAGATGTAAAGGAGACAGACACAAAGGTAGAGTGAAAAAGGTGAGGTGAGTACTGTGAAAGTAGTCGAATATGACATAGCGAGACGATGGTAGTTTGAAGTGAGAGGTCAAATGCCGGTTAATAGACTTTTTTGCTGTATGAGTATACGTTGCCCAGGATGCGCCACGTGGAGGTAAGTCTATCACACACCCCTCAAATCAATCATTGCTTCATTTGGACTTTAATTGCTCATTCCACGTCGTAGCTATTTTGTCTATTTACTGTCCTCTGCCATTTTTGAGCTCAGAACTTCTATTCGCCTTGTAGATCGATGCGGTCTTGCCATTGCACTGATGAAGTGCAATCAAATCTTTGTACACGTTACCATTTTTCGTAATCATTGAACCAAGGATTGCTTTATTGATTGCGAAATCGGAAATTAAATTAGTGCTTATTTTCCGGTTAAGGTTTGATAGTTAAAAGATCTACTTTGATTAATTACTTTTTGGATAGAATTTTGATCGTACTATCTTTGAGGTTAGTACATTATGATCGGCACTATCTTCGTCGGCTTCTAATTTGCCTTGTCATGTTTTGGCATTTAGGCAGGGCATGCGTCAACCTTGTCTCAGTTCCTAGCCCTGGCATTGCAGACGGTAAAATAGTCATTTGTCATCAAACTGGGGGGAGAGGGGGAGGGGTTGCGTGCACACATGCATCCTCTTAAACTCCACATCGCGATGATTCAACTCTAATATCTTACACTGAAACTCCTACTCTGTTCCGTGATCTTGTTCGTCATGGTCGGTCCCCATTGATTAAGTTCACCATTGTCAATCATTAAAAATTTATCGATTTTAGTTCTGCTGCCTATTGCATTGAATAATTGGTTGGTTGCATCACCTTCGTAACCTTTTTCATATTAGCTTGTGTTTTTCAGTGCAACATAGCTCTCTCTCTACAATAAGTAAGTGTATAATTTTATTGTTACTATTTTGTCCCACAGTGGGGCTAAACAGTTTACAATGCTCCTTTGTTTGTAATCAACTGGAATACTCTAACTGTAGGCTTGATAACTGGTGAAGGGATGATTTCAATGTAAACATATGAATTACTGCTTACAGCTGGAAGTGATTTCAAGTTCCTCTTGGCTTCTTTTGCAGGCTCGTTTAGAATATCTCCGTGACCAATACAACATCCGACCAAATGAATTTATTACGTTCGATGCCATGCGACACGCTGCTCAGTGCTTGGGACGAGCAATTCGTGGAAAATCTGACTACGGTATCATGATCCTCGCTGATAAGGTGAGCCCCTCCCCAACCCCCCCCCCTCTCACCCCTCGGATTTTGATTTAACTTCAGTAGTTTATTTAACTATTAGGGCTAATGATAAATATCATAAAGCCTACCATTTGAAATAAATAAATTATTTAACTATCAGTCACACGAAATGGGTTTCCGTTTTGTAATTAATTAATGCATATATAGGAATGTGTGATGATGTGTGGGTCTATAGATTGACAGATTAGTATGTACTCTTTGACTTATCTGTAATTAATATTAATTATGTCGTATTAATCAAAACTCCTCCTTATGTTTTCAGAGTGTGCTTCAATTTTCCTTTGAAATTATAATCACACGAAAACATCTGAGTAAGGGTTACAACAAAGTACTCCAATAAAGCTTGAAATGGTAGATGGAATCAAGAGGATGCCATTTATTAGCCAGGACTTCAACTTAATTTTAATTCGGCAGCATTTTTGTTACCCCTATTCTCCCTGACTGAAGTGTTCGCTTTGTGATTCTCTTATGTATAATTGTTATTATTTAACGCCTAGTGTATTGGAGATATTACGTCGCCGAATTCGATCTTCTTGCCCGAGAGAAGACTGAATATTAAAACGTCTTCTTTAATAATTTCTGCTTATTTGCTTATTTTCTAAGTATGCTTGGAGATTATAATTTGGTTGTTGCAAAGTTCGAATGCGTGCTTGCACTTCTATTTTGCTTGTTGTGAGACTAAGGTCGTATCTATTAAAGGGGCTTGTTTTCAGCACTTTTAAACGATCAGACGAAGTAACAAGCATTTGATAAAAAAATTCTACCATTTTACAATCCGTTTCCTAGGTGTGTATTTGTGACCATCAGATGCTTAACCTCTCTATCTTTATAAGAATGCTCGTTGATAAACGCGCAAATTCTATGCAGGTTGAGTAGTATTGGCAATTCGTATTTCACCTACTTCGAACCCGGAGTTTCATTTTTTTTATAAGAAACACAAGCACACTGCCTTTTTGCACAGCAGGCCCTATTAGCCAGCCACGATGCCTAGGGATCGTTGATTGGCTGAAAATGGGACGATTTCTATTACATCATTGACGCACAGATCTGATTGCAACGTCTACCCCTGTACTTGTTCTCTATGCTTTATGCGTACCTCCCTCGAAGAATCCTTCCCTGAAATTTCCTTGCCTTTCATACTGTGATACATTGACAAAATTCGTTTCTATGAGGCATTTTTGAAGGAGCTTTGGATAAGCCTAAATCAAATATATAAAATGACAACTTTGTTATGGGTAATTAAGAGGAAAAGGTGAACGTTTAAGTCATTTTAAACACCTTAACGCTACTGTGGTCCTCTGTTTAAACATGTTGTAGATTAAAACCAGTAGACCGCTTTAAATTGCGTTTAAAAGTTGGAAAGCAAGAGGGGGAGGTAGAGGATTCATTGCCTTGGAGGCTAAAATCATTGGTTTGAATTCTTCAGTAAAAACCATTCGCGTTTTCCAACATTTTTTGCAGTACTTGTGTAGTTAAAAAATAACTCCGTTTTTTAAATCAAACAATTATTAATCACCGTTCAGATGAAAAATTGCCCGAGATTTCATTGGCTTTGAGTTCTGTTGGCCAGCATTCTGGGATCACTAATGTGAGTTGTTTTTCTATCTTTCTAAATGCTTCTACAGAATAAAACTGTGGAATTGCAAGGAAACAGGATATGAAAGTCACTTAATTTGGTACTGGCACATATTATAAGCATTGTCTTTGTATGCATTCTTGAAATGACTTTTCATCTATGTCATATAACATTCCGTATTGGAGGTTTGAGATAGATGAATAGGAATAATGAGTTCCGTATTGCTTGCTTTAGCGTTTTGCCCGATCAGACAAGCGTTGTAAGCTTCCAAGTTGGATCCAAGCCCAGCTCAGTGATGCCTTCGTGAACCTTTCCACCGAAGAAGCAGCTCAAGCTTGTCGTCGTTTTCTACGGGTCATGGGAAGTCAGCCCTTCCGTAGAGAAGACCAATTGGGTCTCGCTCTTCTCACACGTCAAGATGTTGAAGCGATGGTGAAGGAGAGAGCAGAGAATGCGGTCATACAGAAGTACACTAATACTGCAGCGGTGAAAGGTAACCCTGGTGGTGGTTTGGCTACAGGATTGGTGGTACCTGGCAGTCAAATGCCTGTCAGACTGGCTACTGGAATGTTGCCTCCCCCCTCTCAAATGCAATAACACTCCACCATCCCCCCACTGCCCCGTTTTCTCTTGTATATAAATTTAAGATTTTTATAAAATTTTCAACTTATGAATTAATTCACTTTTTGTAATGGATTGAGCTACACGCGGTAGTGTCTCGTTAAGTCAAATTGCGTTAAGTGAACCGTGCGGATGCGACTAGAATGCCAATACGTTTTATTCAGCGTGCTAATCTTTTATCCCGTCGATGAACCGCGTTTCCCCGAACGTCGTCTACTTAGTGCGGTCAAGTCAAGGTAATTGTGCCAATTTAAATAATGGGAGGTTACAGCACGGGATGGCTATTATCGGATTGACAAAGGGTAGGCCAGGCCTCAATACAATAGAAAATGAGTAAAATCCTCATTGTCTCCAGCCATAATCATAATTTCCCAGATAAGTCGGTTACGGCCGATTGTTCTCATCCCACTGGCCAATATGCTCTAGGCATTACAGACATTTATTTATATCAAATGGCAGGCGTTTTGTAGTTATCATTAGCCCTTCACTTGACTTCAGGCTTCACAGAGGGGAAGGAACATCAAAGTTAAAAAGTCGAGAGGGAAGCAGGAACAAAAGAGTGTTTCAATGATGTAAAAGAGACAGACACAAAGGTAGAGTGAAAAAGGTGAGGTGAGTAATGTGAAAGTACTCGAATATGACATACAGTGGGGTGATGGTAGTTTGAAGTCAGAAGTCAATTACTGGTTAATAGACTTTTGTCGTATGAGTATACGCAGTCCAGGGTGCAGCACGTGGAAGTAAGTCTTTAGTACACCCCGCATCACAGACATAGACTTTCAGAAACCGAGCGGTCAAATACTACAAGTTGAACATGATAATATAAAGTAAATAGCGGACAACCTAATGAATCTGAGTCTCTTCTCAATTTTCAACTTTCCAAAGCTATTGTTTCCATGTTTAGAGACTTTCACTTGGTTAAAAATCACATTTTTCGCCATGGTTAATAGCTCCGTCCTACAAGTGGGGCAGTGTATTCTACTAACGGCTCTCTCTCTCTCCCCCTCTCATGCTGGCAGAATTAGGCAAATGTAAGTGCTTTGAATTTCTTACCTTCTTATGCATTTGTGTGTCGAGTGCTGGAGAGAGCCTAAAGGTACAGTCAAATAACACGCGTCTGATTTTGGACAACCGATTTGATAAAGTAAACACTTGAATCAATCTTTAAAATACCTCATATTCTGGGTTAGGCACTTTAGAGATATTCGGTAGCATGCTTTGTACGATATTTAGGTCATATTGTATGCTTGGCCTAATGGGATGTGCGATAGACTTATCACCACTTGGTGCACCCTGGGCAACGTATACTCATATGGCAAAAAGTCTATCAATGGGCAGTTGACTTCTGACTACAAACAACCATTACCCCACTGTATGTCATATTCGACTACTTCTACAATACTCACCTCACCTTTTTTCTACCTTCGTATCTGTCTCTTTTACATCTTTGAAACACTCTTCTGTTCCTCTCCTCCTCTCGACTTTTTCACTTTGATTTTCCTTCCCCTCTGTGAAGCCTAAAGTCAACTAAAGGGCTAATGATAATTATCAAAACCCCTGCCATTAGATATAAATAAATGTTTGGCCTAATCAAATTCAGTTTATGGTATCTTTTCTACCTCTGTAAGTTGTTTGATCCGCAAATAGTGCTTTGTTTAATTGCATCTCTTATCAATATTTATACCCTTTTCCATAATTTATTTATTTATTTGTGAATCTATCCTTTCTTAACTTATTAATCTTTATTACCAAAGAGGAACTTAGAACATACTACGTTCTTGGCTGTACAATCATGAGGATTAAAATTCAATAATGACAATTGGTTAATGAATAGTTCACCACTCCTTGGCAGTGACGATTAATTCGTATCAGGCAAATCTCGGCTCTCCCTCTCACAGGATGTGAAAATTTAATCCATTGAAAGACCTCGGCTACCACCTTCATCATTTTACACCCCATTGAGCGCAATAGTCAACAGCTCCTCCCATGGGAACTGGCGTAATAATAGTGAATGCAAGGTCCTAAGTTATACGCAAATGCTTGTTGCAGATAAGTACTGTTCTCTTACCCTTCTTTAAGTTTAATAATTAGTAACAACTTCAAGTACTTTACCTCCGAAAGATTTAAGTCTTTCAGAAGATAAGGGTTATTAAATCGCCACATATTCCATCAATAATCCATAATCTCAAGACATCAGATGTGATACCTATGGTAGGCAGACAGTTAAACTTACCAATTAAAGGAAGATATCAGGTACATGTTACTCCAGAGTTGAGTAGATAATGTGTAACATTCACAATCCAAATTGACAAATCCTCATATCATCTCTTGACTTTGAGACCTAAAACCCCAGAATCCATTCATTATACATACATAAACGGTAACCTGTAGGACTCCTTTCCATCTCCCGTTTTGTCTCAATTGAGTGCATTTGAGGAAAATGAATTACCAAGACACTAGATGCGCAGAGTGGCAATGGACCTGTCGTAAATTTGTGCCTTGACTGACGTGTACTTTCATGGAGTTAGTCAAAAGTCAAGGCTTGTCGAAAAAAGGAGGCAAAACGGGTTCTGTGCATGCAATGCTCGGGACTAGGGGTGTGCGATAGACTTACCTCCACGTGGTGCACACTGGACAACGTATACTCATGCGGCAAAAAAGTCTATTAACCGGTAGTTGACTTCTCACTTCAAATTACCATCACCCCACTGTATGATATATTCGACTACTTCCGCAGTACTTACCTCGCCTTTCATCTACCTTTGTGTCTGTCTCTTTTATATCTATAAATCACTCTTCTGTTCCCCCCCCCCCCCTCTCGACTTTTTTCGATTTGATGTTCCTCTCCCTCTGTGAAGCCTGAAGTCAATTAAAGGGCGAATAGT